GGAAAAAAAGGATATGTACAGTATGAAGTCATTATATAGACTTTAAGAAGTATATTGTATTACAGATGCAAAAATTACATTGAAAGTAGAAACATATGCATGGGACTAGGATACAAGGAGTCCTGGTGTGGTGCTGTAAGATAAGCACTGGACTGCAAACTGTAAGGTCTGTAATTCATACCCACCAGCCACTCCTTGGAAACTTTATACAGGGTCACTGTGAGTTGAAACCAACTCGATGGCACTTACCAACAATATGGGTACAATAAACATCAAATCTACGGAGGTGTTTACTTCTGTGAAGGGAGGATAAAGATGCTGAGTCAGGATATTTGGAATGTTTTATTTCTCAAAAATGAAACATGGTGTTATAGTGAAATGTTGGGTGGTGGATACTCAGATGTCTATTGTATTATCCTCTGCACTTTTCTGTTAAATACACAATAATAAAAAGGAAATATAGTCAAGCAATAAGGAGCTCTGGTAGCATAGTGATTACGAATTGGGCTGCAAACTCCATGGTCAGCAGTTCGAAACTACCAGCTCCTCCGCAGGAGAAAGATGAGGCTTTCTGCTCCCGTAAAGATTTACAGCCTCGGAAACCCTGTACAGGGTCGCTATGAGTCGGAACCGACTCCACTCCATGGCACATAAAAACAACAACAATAGTCAAGCAAACATGAAAAGAAATATCATCTGTAATTCGATCTCCCTTGCCCCACCCCCGAAGTAACTCTACAAGGCATGTTGATGTAAATCTGTCCCACGTGTTTTTGTGTCTTTGTCTTCCTGCCCCACCTGGATTAGAAGAACAAGGGTGGCAGGTCTTCTGGCATCTGCAGTGGAGACAGTACACAGAGGGTTTAGCAGCTTATGTAATATAAACCTTAATTTACATATCAAGAGGATGTAGGTTTTCTGAGTTAAAAGTATTTACTAAAAGAAGAAACATTATATCATTGTATATTTTAGAGTTTTTGCATTCGTTTGTTTTCCACCATTTATTTTTATTTAAGACATTTAAAGTATTTTCCCCTCTCATTTTTTCAGAACTATTTTGAGACTTACAAATGCTCATAGAACCTATGGAATAAATATACAAAAAGCATGGCTATAAAAATAGCTGTGGCTTTGAAGAAGGGCACCAAATTTAAACAACTCCTGGTGTGGTGCTGTGGGCTAATGCATCAGACTACAAAGTCATTTGAACTGTATGTAAGCTTGGTGGTTCAAGCTCACCAGCTGCTCCTTGGAAACCGTATACAGGGTCGCTATGGGTCGGAATCAACTCGACAGCACTTAACAACAACAAATGATTCTTATTTTCAGTTTTCTAATTTGTCTTCCAGGATTTCTTAATGTATTTTAGCTACAATTTCTCTTATCACTGAATTTCCTCCAACAAACAATATTCACATGCACATCTAGTGAGGACCTCATTTAATATAAAATTCAATTAAACTGTGTTTTTCTTGAGTTTGTACTGCCACCTGGTGTCAGAATCTAGGCTTTCCTGGTTGATGCTCCAGTGCACTTTTCTGGCTGAGGCTTACAATGCTAAATTATCACATCACATACAAGTACGGTCTCAACCTGTCTGCACAATCTCATTACCCAGTGACTTTGAAAAAATGCCAACACCAATCCACATTCAAGGAGCACTGTCAGAGAGGCATTCACACTGATTTCTGAGACAAAGTAACTTTTAAAATATTCTATTTCACTACTTACTGGGAGAAGTAAGCTTTCTTCCCAGACTACATGCAGCCCATGCTCTCATGTGACTACTGATGGTTAGGAACAAACACACATGAAAGATCCTCTTAAGTGTTTGCTCCAGATGTAAAAGAATTCTGATAGTTGCTTTTGTTTCTTGTCCAAGCTTTCTTTTCTTTTTCCAATTTTGGAAAAAAATATTAACTACAGGAAAATACAGAGAATGCAACAGCAAACAGCTGCACCCACCATTTAAAGCTGACAAATATAAACACTGGCATGTTTGCTTGCACTATTTAAAAGAAATAACACATTAGTGATGGAGCATATGACCAGTCACACAAAGCAATGAGAAAACCAGGATGCTATAATCTGATAGTGCTGTGAGTGCAATGAAACCCCAGTGGATTCGTGAAGGTGGGAGATTTGATCAGGGTCTTGATGCACGGCAGAACACAAGGAGGATGGCATGAGCCTGGGCCAAAAATGGGGATGCGAACAGTATGGTGGTTGTGGTGGTGTGCCATGGAGTCAGTTACAACTCATAGCAACCCTGTATAGGATTTCCGAGGCTGTAAATCTCTACAGGAGCAGAAAGCCTCATCTTTCTCCCTCCGAACTGCTGGTAGATTGAACTGCTGACCTTGCAGTTAGCAGCCCAACTTGTAACCCACTACACTATCCCGTGCAAACCTGATTTAGTATAGTTGTATAGTTGTTTCTAAAACTCTTTCATGTGGTTTAATAAGAGGTAACACTTTGGAGCACTTACTGTTCAAAGTGCTTTACATGTATGTCTGCATGCATCCAGCATAGCAATACTGACTCATCAAGAGGTATATTACGCAAACATTTCCCTCTTGCCCTTAAACAAGTTGCCACATCTGGATCTGTTTCTCCATCTGTAAAAAATCAGATAAAAAATACTGCCCTAGTGCACAGATATATGAACAAAGACAGAAAGAGCTGCTACAAAGCAATATGGCTGAAAAAAACAAAACAAAAACAAAAACAAAAATAATATGGCTGAGATGATGGGCCATTTGCATTACCTAACACCCAGTTATCTCATTTTTCAGATACGTCTTCCCCACTAATCTCAGAAAGATCTTCAATCAAATCCCTCTAAGGTGTAGTGACTGAAAATTTAAAAACCAGTTGACGTTGAACAATTCCAATTCACTATATATGTCGGAGTAGAACTGTGCTTCATAGCATTTTCAATGGCTGATTTTGGGGAAGTAGATCGCCAGGTCTTTCTTTTGAGGTACCTCTGGGTGAACTCAAATCTCTAAGCTTTCAGTCAATATCCAAGTATGTTAATTGTTTGTAACACTCAGGGGCTCACCATCAGGATGACATCATTTAAAACAATCTTAAAAGTTGTAAAGTTTACTTTGTGAAAAGAAATATTTTTCAATGGAAAACCTGTCATCTAGAACACGTCTAGATTTCTATTTCTGAGAAGATGGAATGATTTCAGATTAAGGACCTTTGCAAAGAACTTCTATCATTAACATTTATTTCAATAAAGGGATGTGAATTCAGAATTAATGTAAGGTAAAACCTTAAAGTATTTGGCAAACAAAATGCTAGGAACAATTTGATTAAAATGTTTACAGTACCTGTGCTAGGTACTAGACACAGACAAAAACAAGATAAAAGCACATTCTGAAGAGAATCAAATTCTGATAAACTCAAGTTAAAACAAAAAAGTCAATTCAGTGGTACAATTTCCCCAGGGAAGAAGCAACCTGCCATTTTGCCATCAGTTAAAAATCAACAGTGCATATTTTACTCTTCTACTTGTGACTGGTACAGCACTGGTTACATATGCACTCTCAAAACCTTTTGTCAGAGAACACAGTAAACTGTTACAAGACTCTAGTATTTAACAGGGCTTACATACAATGGATTACAAAATATTTTTTAAAAATAAAAATAGTGTACTCTATTTTAAAAGCATCAAACAATTGAAAAATATATAAACTGGAACAAAATTTCCAAACATAAGTTCAAAGACATTGGCAAATCCATATAACATCAAATAATAGCTAGTTTCATTTATTAACTAAATCACTCTTAAAATAGTGATTTCTATGTTTATCTAATTGAGTGTAACACTTCAACATTTCAATAGATATTGCTGTTGTCACACTGCTCTCAAACTTAAATAATTGGGAGAATTTCAATTATATGGTAAATGAAGACTGAAAAATAAAAACAATACATCTTGAAAGTTTTCAGAGACCTACACAAGCAATTTCCAAACACATAATTTATCATATGCTTATGGTTTGGAAAAAATTTTCCCTGAGTATGCTTTCTGCCTGATTATAAAAATTAAAACATAATCTACAGAATAAAATTTTATTGTACTTTTTCTTGAACATATGTAAATTTTTCATGGAATGTATTTGGGGATCTCTCATAGATACCTCTAAAGCAAGTGGTAAATATAACTGCTTTAAGGTGCTACTTGAATGGCTATAGAAATATGACTAGGTTTCAGCGCCCTGAGAACTGTAGAGTTGGTGTCAACTGAAATGATTTACTTTTCTAAAACTACTAACAGTTATTTTAACAAACTCAGAATGGCATTAGCTTCACAGAGGAAAGAGGTAATAACCAACTGACCAAGAGCCACGCATTAAAAATGAAAACAAACAAAAAATTGGGTTAGCATTGTGCTTTCCGTGGAATAATGCTGAAAAAAATGAGCTCTTCTGCTCAACACAGGAAATACCTCACACCTTCACACTGTATTTAATGCAGTCTTATGATCTGTCATTCCTTAATGTTCATGCAAACTTACAATAGCATCACTGGAAGTTTCAGCAAATTGCAGTTCTCGATGTTATCCCAAGATTTACAAGTCAAGAATCACTACAACCAGGGCACATGCAAGGTAATACTATAGTTATGTTCCCCTAACCTTTTAAGGCCTTAAAAAATCTCAACTACTTAAGAGTTAGGGCTCTTCTCTTTCAAATAAAGGATAAAAAATATTGGGAGTCTAAAATATGCACATTTAAAAATAATTGTCTTCTACATCACCTAGCATCATACTAAGAGAAAATGAAATTTAAAGGTCTTTATTTACAGTTACATTTTCATAAGACTTGACTATATATTTCTCTTAGCATTATGATTTATATGGCCCATAAGAATAATTCGTAACTTAGAACATTTAGAAGTTATCCTTTAGATGGTCTTCGAGAAGTAAGCAGTTTCAGATGTCCAGTAGTGTGCCTTCTGTCTCTTTAGTTAAATCATAAAGTGCTCTATGCAGGACGTCCTTGAGCGAAACGACTTTTAGACCTATGTTATTTAAATGGAAAAGAAGGTCAGACTCACTTCTTTTGTATTACATTTACCTCACATAGCAAAGTTTCATGAAACTTTATATTGTTCCATAACTCATTTTCTACAACACTTGAAGTAAAACATATTTTGGCAATCAGACATTTTTAGAAAGTCTGAGAGACATTTATTATGACTATGGATCTGAAGCAGCGTTCCATAATCAAATTCATTAGTATTTCTTCAGTAAAATCAATGAAAATAATTTGCATTAGATAAGATCATGAAAACTATAACTAGTATCATAGCAGCTCAGTTCAAAGTTTGAATTGGCACAAATGTGTGAAAAACATAACAAAACTGGGCTTTCTGAATTTTAAAACAGCCAGTATGGCATTTTGCAGTTTAAGCATTAATGTTCAAATCTCAGTGACTAACAACACTTGTGATGTAAAATGGCACGGGACCTAACAATTAGATTTTATTAAGAGAAATACCATAATATAATGAAAAATGAGAAAGGCTTCAATGATTTGTGAAATGGCTATGGCCATTTCAGCACACAGTATAAAACTTCTGCTCACAATAGCACTACACCTTCCATTTTGTCAGCAGTTGGCTCAGAACACAGGTGGCTCAATAAACAGAAAACCTTTAACTAAAAAACACTATGCTTTCATTAAATATTGCGCTCATAACTCAGTTAAATAAAGGTCTAGTCAGAATCAGGTAAACACAAGGTTTGTTTTTGATATAAGCATAGGTTTTACACCTAAAAAAATAATAATTTAGTCAGAATCTTACCAAAGCTCAAGATAAGTAATCAACAGGCCCTGATTAATATTTTGATGATCTAATTTTGATATGGCACTGAACTGACAAGCCTGGATTGCTAACTGCAAGATTGGTGGTTCAAACCTACCAACTGCTCCTTGGAAACCTTTACAGGGTTGCGATGAGTTTTAACCGACTCGATGGCACTAAACAACAATGCTTGAAACAAAACACCTAACTCAAATGATGTGCTCCTGTGGTTAACCCTAAAAAAAAATCCCTTGAAAGCCAGTGGCATTTTTAATTTGTATATGCTGATTTACCTTGTAGTCTTCTCGGTGTTGCTCTGACGAGCACTGACTGGCACGGAGGCCTTGACTTGTGCTTCGAGCCTGGAGTAAATGCCCCCTGCAAACTGTAGCGTAAAGGAGCAACACTGTTAGTGATGACTGTTCTGAAATCAGCAGAAACTCTGCTTCTTAAATAACATTACTGCGTATGCTAAGAAGTAGAAGTTTGCTTTGAGTTTTTGTATTCAAACATATTTGAGGTATAACTAACAGAATAAAATTCACCTGTTCTTCATGTACAGTTTTGAATTTTGACAAATACATAGCTGTATACCTACTGACACAACAAAGTCACAGAACAGTTCTATCATGCCCAAAATATCCCATTACAACCTTTTAATTCAACCCATCATCCACCGCCAATCCCTGGCAACCACTGCTCTGGTTTTATATTTTTCAGATTATTATATATATGGAATAATATATTACATAGTCTTTTGAGTCTGGCTTCTTATACTTAGGATAATGAACATATTCATTCATGTTGTTACATGTATCAATAGTTCTTTCTTTTCATACATAACAGTTTCTTTATCCATTTACCAGGTAAAGAACATTAAAGTTGTTTCTTGTTTATGCAGTGATAAATAAAGCTACTAGATACATAGTTTGTATGATGAGTGCATTTACCTTTATTAGAAACTGCCAAACTGTCTTCCAAAGTGGTAAATTTGCACTCCTATTAACTACCAGCGGTTCCACAGGAGAAAGAGAAGGCTTTCTGCTCCCGTAAAGATTTACAGCCTCGGAAACCCTATGTAGGGTTGCTATGAGTTGGAACCGACTCCATGGCACACAACCACAAGCATACCACATTAACTATGTACGACAATTCCATTTGCTCCATAGCCTCAATTAGCACTTGGTATTGTCAGTTTTTTTTGTTTTAATTTTAGCCATTCTAGTTGGTGCATAAGTGATATCTCACTGTGATTTTAATTGACACTTCCCTTATGACTTGTCATATGCTTATTTGCCATCTATATATTTCCTTGATGAAGTGTTCTTTGTTCATTTTGAAAACGGCAGTGTTTATTACAGTTTTGAGAGTCCTTAATATATTCTAGATATAAAGGTTTTTTTCCTAGGTTTTTGCTTAGATGTTTTCTAGGGGGAGTAAATGTTTAAATAAAAGATTGAAGACCAAGAGTTGTTGGGGAGACATACTACCAATATTAATGCTAACATATAATGTTATTACTAATTCTAGCAAGAATGTAAGTATTTCTACTCACCATTTTCAAAAAGAACAACTTATAGGAGTCAAATAACATCTAAGCATAATATGCAGTTGTTCAAAATCAACAACTTTCATAATATTGGCACTTAGGATAGCTAACTGGGTCAAGAATGTACAAAATTAACATCCTCTTGGTATGGCATTGTGCTTTTAGTGACCGGCTTATGAGAGAGACAAAAATTATCTGCACTCTGGCTTTAGAATTTATTTTAATCAACTTTTAGAGAAGACAAACCTATCATTTTCGACATATCTCCTTGCTTTTACGTACACTTTGTCCATCTGAGCTGTGAGCCACAAATGCACTGCTGTCTTCACTTCTTCATCAGAGGTGAATCTTTGTCCAATAGAGCAAGAACAGGTCTATAGGGAGGATGCTTTAGCACCTCGAACTGAAGTTTTTGAAAAGTGTCATTCAACAGTGTGGGCAGAGGAGTGTAGACGTGCATTATCATGCAAGATCACAAGGCCCTTGGATAGATAGCAGTCCTTTGCATTTAAACCCAAGTTTAGGCTTCAGCTCTTCAGTGAGCATCTCACAGTAATGAGCATTGTTGATCACTGAACCTTTATCTTGACAGTGTGGTGTTCCTTTTACCTCCCTTTGAGTATTAGTACAAATTTTGTTTGTAGATGTCCAAACGCTTCTGTTTATTCTCTTCCATGAATTATTTTAGTACCCATTTGCACAAACTTTTTGAAGCTCAAGTCTGTTGTGGATTATTTAAAGGTAGAGTAATGGGTGATTTACAAATAATTTGCCACATAATCCACTGTCACTCATCTATTTGATAGTATCATTTCTTGTGCAACTCAATGTTGTCATCAGCCATGGATGGGCATTTTAATATAACCAGAGTGCGGATAGTTTTTGACTCTCTTTATGTATATTGTAAAGTATCAGTTGACCATGAATAATAAGGCAGAAAACTTTTTTGTGAATGAACTTGATAAATTGCTAAACAATATTAAAACATTTTTACAGTATTTTAAATATTAAGTTATGCTCTTAAAATTCTGCCTAAAACATCTTCATACTCTTTTCTGCTGAAAATTAAAGTAAGAAGACATCTCTAAGCAAGAAACACCAGTACTCTTACTTCTTTTGCTTCCTTTGACTTGACTCGGTCGAGATCGCCCAATCTCATTTTTATAAGGTGCCCTGTGATTTCAGACATCCGTCGCTGATCTGAAGGTATAAAAAGACTTTTTTAAAATCATGATTTATAACTTGCATGTGTTAAAGAGGATTGAAATCATCAAGGGTTTCTGGCTTCAAATCAAGAACCAAACCTATCCCCTGTGTACACAGAGTTGATAGGGATGGGCAACTTAGACACTGGCTACCTAAAATGGGGCAGAGGTGCCTATAAAGGCACAAAGTAACTGGCTTACAAGTTTTCAAGAGGGAGTTTATAGTTTCAGAGTGTAGGGGAAGGTAGAATCCTCACTGAATAGTTTTCATTTTGTCTAGAAAGGTCTGGTGAAAGGAGATGGTGATAAGATTCTTTGATTGAATAGTCAGTAATCGTTATCATGACGAATTGCGATTGTCACAACTGTAAAGGTAGAAGTTTTGTAACATAAAGAGGGAAGTAGTCCTGGTGTGGCATTGTGGGCTAATATGACACACTGCAAAGTCATCTGAACTACAAAGTTGGTGGTTCAAGCTCATCAGCTGCCCCTTGGAAACCCTATACAAGGGTCACTATGAGTCAGAATTAACTTGACGGTACTTAACAGTCAATCTTACATTCCAGGAACAGAGGACCCTAGGACCATCAAGGGAGAAGATCTTTAGCAGAATGTAACACTCTATCCAGAGAAGCAGTGACACCAGAGATGGAGGCAGAGATGAAGACATGGAGAGATACAGCAGCTGAGGACTCTAGACTCATGGAAAGAGAAAGGCTGTGTGCTGGTGGTCAGGAGGCAGGCTTGCAGACTGTGTGCCCTTGGGTTGTTTAAATGCTTATATCTTTTGATTTATTTTACAGACACATCTATGAATCTTTGAAGAATTTGAGGCAGCAAGTGGTAAAATGAGAAATATACCTATTCCTCACTTATCTATTGTGTTACCCAACATTTCCCATTGATGACAACATTCACGTTGATGACAACTTTGAAAGACAACAGCAGATGGGCTGTGGGGTGCCATCACCTGCTAGTCTTGTGACATCTTGGTCTGGCCATGGAAGGTGCAGGGCAGAATCATGTGAAGTCATGGCCAGACAGAAGGAGGCTGGTGAGTGGCCAAAGGTGCTAGGGAGGTTGGAGGGTGAGGTGAGAAGCAGAGGAGAGGGAAAGGGATTGCATGGGGCTGTGAGGCTGGGACAGACGGAGGATGAGTGGGATTCCTGCCCAGGGCAGGTGCCAGGAAGCTGTGGGCAACACTTTATCACTACCACCATCACTGCACACCTAGCCCCTGTGGGCTCCATGGTGGTGGACTGGGGGGTCTGTTGTGCCATGCGTATCCTGAGTCGTGCCAGGAATAGGTGACAGGCGGTTAGCCACAAGGGTGGTCACATTGGCACTTTCACATACCGCTGTTTCCAGACAATGACCTGGCCCTTGGAACCTAACCATGTTGATTAGTGAGGAATGGGTATAGATGGATAACTGTACTGTCTTTCAGATTACTGTAAATCAGTCAAAAACATATTCAGTCATTTTTGAAGTGAAAGTCTTGGATAAAAGTCACTCTGACAGACTGCAAAACCACAGATGCATAAAGCAATATATTAACTACCAGGACTGTCTAGTAATGATCTGGTTGATGCTTAAGTCAGAATATGCTAATTCTGGGTCTAACTCAAGTTGGAATTTTAAATGTATTTAGCATAGTTCATAAAATGATAGACAACCATATCTTTGTTATTTATACTTAGTTGGTACATTACCCAAATAATATAACTTACCATCTTCTCTTTGAGCATCCTGATTGAATCGCAAGGATCTGGTGGCATCCCATTTATTTTTTTGCATACTCACACTATTGAAAAAAATCAAACAGAAGTCAGTGTCCACGCTGTTTTAAGAATGGACGTCAACAAGATGAAGGAGTGATACTCACATGAAAGGAGACGCATCTCTAGAAGCTGACTGAAAAAAAAGTAGATTGCATTCAGCACACATTTAGAGATGACTATTACTATTAATGAGAAGGATTTATTTTATAAGCCCAGGCTTTGTGAAAGACATTATACAAGGTTACATCATTATTTCATGTAAGTCTTACAAAAACCATGTGGCATAGGTGCTATTATCTCATTAATAAGACAAGTTCAGAGGGGTTAAGAAACGTGTCCCAAAGACTTGGAACCCAGCTTTATTTGTCAGACTGTGGAGCAGCATCTTAGGCAGTCTTTTAGAAGTCATTCATTCCTGTGCCTGTAGCCCTTAACCCAATGATGAATGTACAATCTGTACAACGTCACTGCGTGCATGCTGTCTCAGCCCCATTCTGTCCGCTGAAAGCTCCAAAAATCCCAGCTTTTTATATCATTTGGGAATTCATGATTTCTATTTTAATAAACTGTGGTTATTAATAGTCTTTTATGCCAGTATACACACTGTTCTTGCAATTTTCTAGTTTCACGTCTTAATATGTCTTAGAGATGTCTTAGTATGAGAAGAACTTCAATCATTTGTACAATGCTAGCATGCCATTGCCACTGTTTGTTACTCTTATTTTTTAGCTTTTTCCTGACTACACTTACTTCTCCACATGAACTTCAGAATAGATCATTTATAATTACCTTCTCCAATGCCTTTTCTTTCTTCTGAGCACAGGGTGAAGACATCTGCTTTTTTGGTTGCTTAGTGAATTTCTTTGGCTTTTCCTTTTTTCCTGAACACAGAAGGCTAATGTTATGAGCACAAGTTTCATACAATGCTCCAATACACTTGCTACCTTCAAACAACAAAACCATTATTTTTAAAAACTTATAAGTAACCTTTGGGGAAAAAGTAAATCTATGGAGAAGTTAAACTGAAACACTTTACTTGGGTTCATTTGAATTAATATGCTCTTTTCATTTGGTATAAACCTTTGGGGAAAAAGTAGAGGCAAAGAACTCAAAGTCCCAGTGAAATAAAACATAGGAAAA